CTCTTTCATTCTGCCCTAGTTGGTGCTATCAAAGCCCTCAACAAGTCTCTTGAAGAGCAGGGCACATCCAAGAAAGTCCTTGGTAAGTGTAAGACTCGTGACTGAGCTTGGGTTGTAGGTACACTGCCTGGCATTTGTCTCTCTTGTCATGATGTGGGCAACTCTTCTTGTGAGAGTGCAAGGGGGAAAAAGGGGGAAGCTGTAGGTTAGACCTAGGCTCATCCCAAGGGGTGCTGAGTCAGAAGGAGACAGATAGGGAGGCCTGAAGGGTGAAGGAGGACTTTTCTTGGTGACTGGGGAGTGTTGGTGACAAAGAACTCGAAAGTCTGCCCTAAACAGGCAGCAGGGATTTTTCTGGGTGGGAAGATGCTTGTATGGACTTGGGACTCGAAGGGCAGCGATTGTTGACTCTTGTAGACAATAGGAAAATGTTGTAGATGCAAGGGGATCAGATATACAAACTGGCAGCGATTTCCTGGCAGAGGAAGACTCGAAGATGATGAATAGACAATAAGATAGATGCTGGGGACTCTGGGGATGCTCTGAAGACTTGAAAATGCTCTGAAAATGACTCTGGGGACTCAGGAAGGCTCTCAAACATGCAGATAGTGACTCCAAAAGATGGGTGGTTATTTTTCTAGGTACAGCAGACTTTTGTATCATAGGGACAGTGGTTTCTAAGGTAAAATCAGAATAAATCAGATCTGTCATATGTCAAAAGTAATAAGAGAAAAGATAAAGGCTGACGCATGGACAATCACATGTGCAGCAGCAACACAGACAAAGATAAAACAAGTAAAGTCCATAAAACGAAGGTAAGTAAAAGTGGAAAGCATACAGACAACATGCCTGGGTAGTGAGTGTACATTGTAGGGGGAGGCAGCGATTTCTTCAATGAGTCTGGGATGCAGTGGGTGGCATTACTAAGCAGGCGACAGCCTCAGCACTTGTAGAGTGGATATAGGTGCTGAGAAGATAAGGTGACATGTGATAGGTCAGAGGGGATCACTGACAGACAGTGTTCAGCAATCATGTGTCAAGGGCAGATTGGGTGTGATAGGGGATGGCCTTATTATGGAAGCTGAGGAGTTGGCAGTGATGTTACTGGTGGGAATAGGGGTGTGCGACGAGTGTACAACGGGTGGTTTGTTTATTGCAGCATGCAGCGATATTTTTAGTGGGGCAGTGCTGTGATCGCAGGGGGACATGTGAGTGAGTGACAGACAACATGGAGAAAAGCCACTCGGAGTGTTCTGCGGCCTTAGGGAGTATAGACTCCCTACAGTGAAGCTTCAACAGCTTCAATATTATACATCCTGTATCTCTTATCAGTGCCAGATATACTCTGTCCCTTGCATCACAATTAAACAAAAAGGAACTTAGGTCTGATTTTATTTATGTACTCAAAGTTGCAAGCTTGCCTCTCGAACTTCACGACTCTCATGCATCATTGCATGATGACACGCATAGCCAATTATTAAGGTATGATTTAGACACTCTCACCTGGGCTTTTCTCTTCTCTAGTCTTTCCATTATCAAACAATCTCTTCTTGATGCGTTCCCTCAGCGAGTGCAGTCATACAAGCCTGTTCGAGCCACTCAACTGGCCCTCGACATTCGGGCTATGAGTCCACCAGGGTCCCAATCAAATGTGTCACCTCGTTCCCCTGTGAACTGCTTGGCTGTTTCCCCTTCGAGGAGTCACACTGGCAATCATAAAAGGTCAGTCAGTGGTTCCCCTACCATTTTTCTTTCCCTTCTAATCTTCTCAGTCCTCTCTCCAGCAACTGCGCAACCTCTCTCGACTATGGGCACATACTTGAGAATGTGGGCAATCAGACTGCTTTCCTGCACAACACCTGTCAGCGACTCAACCACAAATGAGCACAAAGGTAAACTCGAGGTCTTGGCATCCTCCTCACAAATATCTAGGGGGCTCACATCGCCTCCCCTTTCTCTCTTGCTTGTGACTTGCTGATCGACCCTGACTTGATCTCTCTCATTGCAGTCCTCCCACTCTTGTGATGTGCTCTCTGCCTTCAAACTCATAATTTCTATGCCTCAATGTCCTGTCATGGCTCGCTCTTCACTCAAATCTTGCTCTTTGACCCTCGGCACTTCCGATAATGTCCTCGATGCCAATACCTCATCTTCTCCTTGCTTCTCCATCTCGCTTGACACCTGCACTTCAACCCTCGAAGCTCCAGATAACACCCTTGACACCAGTCCCTCGCCTTCTCCTCGCTTTTCTATCCTGACACTGCCTTCCTTGTCAACAGGAAGCTGTACTGCCTCCACTATCTCTTCCCTTGAGGTGACCACCTGTGATCCACTATCCAGAATCCCTTCAGTCATGACCTGACTTGTGAGCTCCACCTCTATGAATGAGAGTGGCATTGACAAGCCTCAATAACTCTGGGCTCTCATCACCTCAAACTCCACACTCAGTACCAGCACATTTGATACTTCTTCCTTGGCTCCAGCAAAGTCATACTCTGGCTCATTTTTGTCATTTGTTGAAGTCACCTTGATCTGGGCTGTTGATGCTGCCAGCACTGATGCCAAGCTTGACCCTCAGATGTTGCTCGTGAACTGGTGAGTACCCTTATCCTGGTAGGATGACACCCTCTGCACCTCGACCTCGACCCATACCTGCAGCTGCTTCTGAGCCAGACCCTGCCATACCCTAGTCACTTCCTCACATCTCGATGGCTGCACTTCTCTTGTCCTCGAAGCCTTACTCCTCACTGTCTTGAACTGATCCCTAACGAGGAACTTCAGCTCATCCACAATGTATCTTAGAGGCCAGGGATCATCATGTGAGTGTATACTGTAACAAAGCTTCAGGTTTGTCAACGCCTCTCACTTCAACTCTGGATTGAGGCCTTCAAGTATGTAACTGTTGTAGTTGCCTGGGGTGATCTTGCCCTTCAAGTAGAGGTACTGAGCAATCACCTTGTACCTGTGAAGGTACTTGCCGAGATCTTCCTCTGTCTTGAAATCCCTCTGCACCCTAATGAGGTCATACAGATCCTCCCTGACAAACTCCTCTCCCAGTTTCGAGGCCCTGGGGTACAGGCCTATCAGCCTCGTGATGAAGTTGTTCCACTCTGTCATCCTCCACCCTAGGATGTTACTCCACAGGGATGTGGTGTCTTCATCTAGGTACCAGTATGTCCATTTGATCCATTCCTTCTTGTTCTTGCACCCTGCTAGCCAGCATAAATACTGGATCTCGTTCAGGTACATCACGAGGTCTTGTGCTTTACCTGAGAACTTTTGGTGCCTTGCTCAATCTTTGACTGGGCATTCCATCGAGCAGCTCTGGCATGCGAGAGCTCATGGCTCCTCGACCTAACATCTCAAGGACCACTTGCCCCTCTGACCTTTCGTGCCTGTGATATGACTCTGTTTCTCCATGATGCCACTCTCCTCTCTCATCCTGTCTCTCTTGCAAGTATGACCATTTATCTTGCTCATCCCTCATACCTAACATCCCTCTCTCCCTGCTCCTCGATCTGGTTGATTCAGGGATGTATTCGTGTGTCTCACCCTGCCTGTATGAGGGTCTACCATAAGAATGAGACTCCACATGAGGGTAATAGCGTGAATTGACAAGATGGTGGTGGTGGTTTCGAGATGGGGATCTTCTGGTTGAATGAGGAGGGGAGTACTCCCAAGGCTGCTGTGCTGTATACGAGTATGAGCTTCCCTGCATGTGTCTTCTAGAACGAGACTGAGAGCATGCAACAGGGTGGTTCCTAGAATAAATGTCATGTGGGCTTGAATGTCCATACCATCACCCTCTCTCATCAGGCTCCTCGTGGTAAGTTGGCCCTCTCTCCATGCCTGTTGGCGCCCTCTCTGGTGCCATGTAGCTTCTGTGGGCCCTGTCATCTACCCAGTAGCTTCTCATGTCCCTTGCTTCGTGTTGTAGTGTACCATACATTTCCTTGGCTGTACACGTGGCAATTCTGTGGAGCTAGTACCTGGTGCTGGATTAACAAAGAACCCCCTCGCAGTGGGCTCCAGATGTAGGGAATTAGATCATAGGACCAGGGAAAACAGAGAAAAGAAGGGATGCAAGTCTTGTTTCGTCCTCAAAGAGGGTTCTTGAAACCCAGACACCACAGGTACTAAGTTGGACTTTTTCCATAATTAGCTAACCTATATAGTAAGTCATACTAATGACACAAGGTTCCCCTTAGTATGAAAAGGCAAACTTTTGACTTCCTGTGTGAGAGGAATGGGACCCAGTGTCCACTATATTGTACTATGGGCTGTTTTCAGAACTTTGTAGAATTTTGAGGCAACAGTGGCTGGAGGCTCATTGAGGGGTGTAAGATCCTATGTGAATCTGACTTTGGATGGTGGGGATTGTGATGGATGATGCTAATGGAGGAAAAAGGAGTAGGGGTTTCAAAGAGGTGGGGGCTGGTAGTTCTGTGAGAGGGGCTTGGGCTATAGAGGAGGGTTGGTGTTAGGGGTGCACTGAATATGGTGCTTATTATCAATCACAGGCATGTGGTACTCCAGTATCACATGCCTGGCAGCTCATCATATATATGATGTCTTGGAAATTTTACATAGGACAATCTTTTGTCTTTACATATCATACTTTGCAAATACCAAACAGTACAGTTCACAAGAGTGATCTTAAGATGAAAGATCCCCAACCTTACAGTTGGATATGTATGTTGATGATGAGGTTTTGGATGGTATTTTAGATGGTAATATCAGGCAGAAGAAGGGATTTGGGTCTGAGCATACCTTTCAAAGGGCCATCTGTGGGGTTGTTTCCACTGAGTATGTATCCTGAATCTTCATGGCAAAGAGAGAATAAAGGAGTGCATGTGACAGAAAGTGTCATTGGCTGCAGGGTTCCTATGCTGGCTATTGTGCTACCCTTCAACAATGCCTGTGTTGTCTCTGTGTACAATAAAAGCATGCCCTGGTATGTATGTCAAGAGTGGCAATGGTATAAATGAGTGTTGAAAAACTGGACATGCCAGGACTTGAACCTGGGACTCCCAACACACTATGTTTGGTGCACTACCACTGGTACCAGTCCTGCAGTAGGGAATGTGGATTTTACTGCAAGTGGGTTCCAACAATGAGGGGTTTGAATCCCACTTATTCTGCCCAACTGATGTCATGTTTGCCATTCATTGAGGGTGTGCCAGCCTGGGGTGAAATGCCATTCTCTCCATCTGATATGAAGGCCAGTGAACAAAACAAATCAGATGTAATCCCTGCTGGTGGTGGATATGAGTCATATTATTCAGATGTTGCCTTTGAGTAGCAAGAATATGGGCTGTAAATTGAGCAATGATCTGTTGAGCTACCTTGATACTTGTAGTACTGGGATAACTAAACCCATCCATGATTTTCTCACATATGACATAAGCACAAAGTTTTCTTAATCCTAGGATTTACTAACTACACTGGTTTCCAAATGGGCCCTAATTACATATGTACATAGTGGTTCTCTTGATAGTTTCTTGTCTACTGTCTCTGCAACCAGTTGGTAACTCCCTCCAAGGCTACCTGTAGCATGACAGCTGTTCACTGGCCCAACCTGTTGTGAGCTCTGCCCAGGACTTGGTGGGGGAGATGCCAAGGTCACCTTTTTGAGGGGAGTTACCATTATGGTTGCAGACACTGGAAACAAAAACCAATGTTTAGAAATAGAACATTGAAAAAGCAGACACTATGTTTCAAAAACACAAAGAGAATATTGTAGAATCACTCAGGCTTCTTAAACATAGTATCTATTTCTTTCATGTTCTTTCCATGTTTGTAGCTCAAAGATTAGATAATTATGGAAAGCTGGATGGTCATGCCACATTTTTTTGGCATTGCATGCCTTTCTCCCATAGATTTACTACTTTAGGAATATGACTTTCAGCAAGACCCCAATCACCTGTAATCTAATATCCTATGGCATAATTTCCCAAGTCTGCATGCCTTAAGGGAAATTGAATGAAAATGTGTATATATCAATTTTCAATTTTTGTAGCTCATCATTACATGTATATACCTGCAGATACTCAGACCATAGGTATATGTTCATGTATCATGGTTCCATCTACCTTGGGTATCACATAGATTTATGGTGTGCAACAAAAAATTTGCTTCATTAACAGACATACCCTGACCAGTGAGTGATGCAATGAAATCTTCACTGCTGTGTGCATGCCTGTGTGCCTGGATAATATGCTTGACATCCTCTGTACAACACCCATGAGCTATGAGATCATCAAGTGGCTGAGCCAGGATTCAGACATCCATAGTCAATGTGGGATAATAATTGCTCAAGACCATGCCACATAGATTGTGAACATGGCTGTAGATTATAGGAGAAATTGCAGAAGGGGAAGCTGAACTTGAGGGTAGAGAAGGGGAGCCCTGAGGAGTGGTTGATGTATGAAGAAAGGATGAGCTGGACAAGGATAATGAAGTATGAGAAGATGTGGTCATAGTTTGTGGAGAATGAAGTGAAATAGCTAGTGAATGACAGAGCTGCTCTGCCATAGAATTGACTGTTGTCTGATGGGGATTTTCACTTATCTCATCATGGGTCAACAGGGGCAGCATCCATTGTGTGTCACCTTTGACAAGCATGAACACTAATGCTGGCCAAAACAAAGTAGTTTTCCTGCATATTTGATATTTAAATGTTCCCTCCCCTAGTGTTGTGCTAGGTGGGAAGCTGTGGAATAAGCTGAAATATACCCAAGCCAAGCTGAGGCAACACTACCCTCCCCACATGCTGCATCCTTACTGAAGGAAGTCAAGCTGTCTTCATAGAATCAGTGGCAAAGACTTATGCTGTGTGATAAATGCCAAGAGGTGAACCAATGATGATTGCATAAAAGTCACCCCTGTCTTCAAGTAGCATCTGTACATGTGGAATGTCAAATGCCACAAGTAATCAGCTCATGGTCTGCACCATCTGAAAGCTGAATCCATGATGGGTTGGAGAGTTCTTGTGACATGCCTAGCCTCAGCACTTGTCACACATTGGATTGCAATGGGGAAGACTGGCACCCAGTGGCCACATGCAATAAATGGGCTGCAGACATAGTGTAGTAGAACACCCACATTCAAGACCAAGAGCACATACCAGTCTTCAGGCCCATAAATATGGGCACCACTATTGCTGCCAATAAGTGCCCAGCAAAGCTCTGTGTTATCCATGGTGTAGTAGATGAGGGCCAATAGCTTGCCATTACACCACATTATATACCAGTGGTGGCCAGACATTTTGAGAAGAGGGGTGGATAACCATGAGAATGTGGTTGTACTGACCTGCTCTCGAGAAAGTAAGCCACTTTCTGTACAAGAAAGTTGATACTGTTATATTCCTATGCTTGATCTCACTAACTGAAGTAGGATGCCTTGTGGTCTGCCCATGCTGTGCAAATACTCAAAATTGAATGATCTTGTCCACCCTTGTATGTAAAGGTCTCAGGGCTCACCAGCATGTCAGTATTGAGGTAATGCTTGTGCTACATGAGGTTTCCACATGACCAATAAAACCATCAAATGAACAAATGACCATAGACAAGTGTAACTACATGGAGTTCATATGAAAGACTTAATACATCACACTCATAAACAGGAATTGATGTCCTCCTCATCAGCCTTGTCATCCTCCTCTGAAGAGAAGTCCATGACTAGTAGTGTGGGAGTGGCATCAATCTTGTTCTGGATGTCAGGCTTGTCACTATCCAGTACATCCATATCCTGTAAATGGTTGGCCTCCAAAATGAGAATGAAAAGTATTAGCTAGAAATGAAGCTGGTGGGGTTAGTAAACTCTTATGGAGGCCTAACCCATTTGCAACACCACCCATGTAATCATCCCATCTCAAGGAGATCATGAAGGCCTGGAAGGAGATTCAACTCTTCAGCATCTACAGTAGCATGGTCTTCTGTCACCATCAATATCACAGGTACACCCTCACAGTGCTGCATTAGATCCATGATATCACAATAGACTGTCCATACAGACATGCATCCAATAAAGGGGTGGCCAAGCTGAAGGTAACATGCCTTGATGAATGTGCTGAGAGCAGGTGGGATGAGGTTGAACACAGGATGGTTAGGATTGATATAAAGTTTTTGCACTTGTTCAATGGCAGCCAGTGAAATCATTATCTAGCATTGCATGCAAGTAGGTTGGCATCAAGATGTCATTTAGGCCAGGGAACATACTCACCTTGAAGTCCAATGCTCCATAATCTCCTGCATAGCTGTATATGAGTTCTGGAATGCTGTGAGGTGTGACCTTCACCAACAACCAGTTGTGAGCCATTACAGTCATGTTTGCTGACCCATGACAGACTCACCTTTTCATCTGTCCTTGCACTTCCAGCTGTTGTTGATGTGGTCTTGATAGTTGTTCAGTTTGACTTGAAGCCAAGGGATGAATACCCAATGAAAAACCATACTGCCAGCCAGATCACTTTCAGTCATACATGCAGGGACAAGCATCATACTTACAGCTGTAGCATGTTGTCAGGGTCATACCAGCTGCTGTCCACACCTGTATCAAGCAATGATTCAAAACCTGGGGTAAAACAATGGCACAGCTGTGACCAAGCTATCTCTGGCTTGATATTCTTTGATATTCTTTTTAGTACACATCTATCAATGCTGGATATAGCTGTTGAGAGTTAGGTCATGCATCTGCTGCAGTAAGGTTTGTGCATTTGCAATTCTGAAGTTTTCAGTCCTGGGATCGCTTTGAGTAATCATTGGAATGTCTGACAGTGTGTGAACTCTGACAAAAGGGTTTGAGATCCACACAGGGAACTAACAGCCAAATTCTTTGACAGTATCAAGGTAATAAGAAAGGACTAACTGTGGGTTGTGGTTAGAGTGCCAAACTTTTGTCCAGAGAATCTGGCCTGAGAAAGGCTCAATGCCTGTGTACAATGCAAGGCCAAAATGGAGCCACTTGTCAGTCATGCTGATCCACAGCCCATATATCATTTATGCCAGCTGCTCAAAAGCTGTGACACTGCAAGTGATTGACCTTGCATTGTCTCAACAAGTGTGATTCATAGGTAATAAAATATTCCTGCATCACTTTTCTATGTGAAAGCTTCCCAGTCAGTGACAAGTATAACTTTGCATGCCTCATGTTCACTTACCTTGGGATGGCCATACCATGCTCATGAAAGAGCAGCCCAATCATCTCACATACACCAGCATCTGGATACATCCTCTGCATCTCAACCATGATTTCTTGGATACTTGTGCAGGTGTGCCCTTGCTTGTAGGTGCACTGTAGGCCCAGCTGCTTCTGAACTTGCTTTAACTTTGTTCAACTGATAAGATAGTGAGCTGCAAACTCACTCCTTTATGGAAACCTCACCCAATTCCATAGACTATGTTTGTGGAGTTTGGCCAGCATCTCCTTGTCTGTCAGGAATGCTTTCCACAGTCACCTGATGAGGGGCTCGATATGGTCAAGGGGTGCTGGAAGCTATCAGCAACCTAAATACCACAGCAATAGCTACTACACATGAGTGGGTTTGTTCTGATTCTTCTGGCATGTAGACATAGGATTGGATGCATGCCCTGAAGCATGGCACAATAGTGAGTTCACCCATGTCTCTTAAATCAACCCAGATTGTGCCAGTGCCACATGTATGTGCTTGTGATCACTTCACCTATAACTGAAACTGCTGACATATTGAAGCTGTATTGCAGACATGTGCACAGGCAGCTGATTGCTTAAGTTCACTCTTCACCCACTAGATCTCTCTGCAAGGAACCCACTCACCATGCACTTATTCTCTAGCACTACTTCAACCTTGAGTTCTGGCTTCAATCCTCATGTGATGCTTGACACTTTGAGTTCTTGTCTTTGTATAAAAGGGCTGTAGGCAGCCTCAGTAGTGACTCAACTACTATGTATATTAGATGTACCTGTAGGCAGCTACAGGGAATCAGTAAGTAGTCTACTATAAGGAATGTATGTGCTTACCCTCAGTAGTGACTCAACTACTGAGGATACAGTACCAAAATGTACTACAAAGTGCGCTCTAAGGGCTTATGT